CGCCCACCCACCTGCCCATCACGATGGCTTGCTGACAGTGTCCCGGGGGCTCCAAGCTCTCGTCCTCCCTGAGCTGCAGGGGCATGTCCTGAGGGGCCTGTTCTCAGGTGCTGACCAGCTGGCAGCAACAGCTCTGTCCCGAGGGGTGACGTGCTCCCCAGCCTCCTCGGTGGCTGTGGACACCCAGGTCAGGGTGCTTTCTATGAGGACAGAAGCGAGTGGTTCAGAGAAGGGGCCCTGGGCAGAGGTCAGAGGTCAGAGGTGGTCCCCAGCACCTCTGGGAGAGAGGCTGGGCAGTGAGGGCAGCCAGGGCACCTTGCGTTTCTCCCCGTCCCAGCGATGCTGCCCTGCTGGGGCTTGGGGAACACGCCCTGAGCAGTGCACACAGGCCCGTGGGACACGCCTTCTGTCCTCTGAGTCTTCCCAGGCCCCGCACCCCCTTGTCATTACTCCTCACAGCCGTGTTAGGAATGGGGTGATTTTCCTGGTTTTGTAGGGAGCAGCTCTGTGCCTCATTCAAATCTGTGGAATTTTAATACACGGAGGTGACTGGCATCGTGGAGAGGCCAATGGCTCCGAAGGAGGAATATGTTACTAACATTTCCGGAGAAGAGGGCGTGCCACGCCACCAGGGCCACGGGGGAAGGACCAGGGCTGGTCAGGAGGCAGGAGAGGTGAGAAGAGAGGGCATGGTCCAGAACCTCTATTGGGGTTTTCGCGGGAAGGAATGGATGAGGCAGGGTAGGTACCTGAAGTGTGGGACTGGATGGTTTGAATAATGTTGTGCACTTGGGGGTGTGGGGTGGTCTCTGGGCGATGTAGGGTAGGGAAATACCCCCATGGTGTGCGATCAGGAGGGGCTGGGGTATAGGCGCAGGACTATCTGTGAGAATTGGCTAGTCCTGGGAGGGGCAGCCTCTTGTTGACCAGCAAGCTTTTTAAGAATGTCAAAGCATCATCAACACAGAGGGTGAGGGACCATGAGTCACAGAGCCGGCACCTTTCATAGATGTCACGATGTGTCAGAGGGGTTAGGAGCAAAGGGCAGGGCAGCGAGCGAGGGCTGGGCTCGCAGGCAGCCACGCCATGCACCGTCATGCCGGAGGCCCGGGTCTGGGAGGCAGGAACATCCTTCCCTTTGCCACGCCCACATCTTCCATGAGGTGAGCCACAGGGTGGCGTGTGGGGACACAGGTGACTCTGGTTGCAACCCAGTGTCAGTGGTGCACAACCGTGCCAGAGGGTCCGGGGCGTGTCTCCCTCCGCCTCTTCCTGCCACCCTTCCTCCTCCTCTCCTTCACTCCGGCCTGCCAGGCCTGCCATGACTGCTTCAGGGACCCACTGGGGCTGGCGCCCGGGGGCGGCCTAGAAAGCAGACCTGCCTCTCCCTCTGCAGGCTTCACCCCCAGTGGCCGCGGGGGTCTGCCTTGTGGGCCAGTGTTGCCTGCCTTGGACCTGAGGGGGTAGATCTTTAGAGCAGGGACACGGAGAAGGGGCGCACTAAGAAGTAGGTTGGTGTGCGTGCAGCTGTTCTCAGGCTGCTGTGCTGCGGACGCCTCATCTTCCCGCAGCATCTGTCCCTGGGGTTCCACATGGCTACACAGCCCACAGGGAGATGCAGTAAAGGAGCCATCTCAGGGAGAAAAGCGTTTGCAGCAGAGGCTGGAAATGAGTTGGAGGGTTGATGAGGCGGAGAGCTGGGAGAGGCTCTTTCAAGGGCAGGATCCTCGAGGGGGTGGCAGCCGCATCGCTTACATCTGCATCTGCTGGGCTGTGTGGGGCCTGGGAGGAGGGGCGGTGGGGCTGGCAGCAGCAGAGAATTAAAAACATAGCTCAGGACCGTTTCTGGTCTGAGTTATAATTTTAGGAATGGAGGAAGGAAAGATTTTAATGGTATTTCAGAGATGTTATGCCTTCCTTCTCTCTGTGGTCTCAAGGGGCCGAGAGGGACTTGTTCCAAAGGCCTGTTGTCACCTGCCATTCTAGCCAAGCCCGCGGCGCCCTCCATCTGCTGCAGGGCTAGAGCTGGAGGGAGGAGGGGGTTCTGTGACCCCGGCCGGGGCTGGCTCCCTGCTCCCGGGATTGGATCCAGCCACATGCTGCTGCGGTTGACAGGGTTCCCCTGCTAGGCCTGAGCACTGTGGGAGGAGCTGGTGGTCGGGTGGCAAGAGCAATTTCTAACATAAGATTTAGGACCTGGGAATGCAAATGCATACTAGCTTTTAGGAAAACCGCTCTGGGAGGCGAAACACTTTATCTTGCTTATGCTTTCATTGTTCTAAATGTCCTTGGGGTTTCTCTTTGGGCATTTCTTTCAGAACCAGTGTACAAGCAACAAACAACCTTGTTATTCTATAGACATCTTTGTAACTGATACCCTTTGTCCTTACCTTACCACCCGCCTTATGCATCTGGGTTAGCCCTGAATTTCTTTCCCCCCTTTTTGTTGTTTCTCCTCACCTGAGGATATTTTTTGCATTGATTTTTAGAGAGAGTGGAAAAGAGGGAGTGGGGGAGAGAGAGAAACATCAATGTGAGAGACACATAGATTGGTTGCCTCATGCACGCACCCCCAAAAAAAATGAGTTCACGTGTCACCTCTGACACATGTGTCATAGGTTCACCATCACTGCCCTAGACTGTAATTGAACCCAAGACCCTTTTGGTGTGTGGACTGACACTAACCACTGAGCACACCAGCAGGACTCTTTGATCTACTTTTAAACATCGATTCCTTGGTGCGGAGATCGGGAGCCTGGCGTCTGTTGTGCCCTTGCTTTTCTCTCTGGCTCAGGGTGGTCCCCTGCCTGGCTCGCTGGGCAGTGTGGGGGGCGGGGTTTCCTGTCCCTGGGCCTCTGGACTGTTCTGGGACTCAGCAGAGAGGGATGCTGCTGCATCCCCCTGGCTCCTATACACTGGCCTCTGGGAGGCAAAGAGCAGCCTCTGGGGACGTCAAACTGATGGCAGGAGCCTCGAGTAGCAGGTCCAGCCCTAGTGGAGGACTGAGCGGGCTTGAGCCGTGCGGGAGGAGTCGTCAGGGCCAGCGATTCAGTTTCTCCTCGGCCGCCAGCTTGGGGGCCTCATCTCTGCCGTGGGCCCGGGTCCGCAGGACCCACTGTGGGCTGCCCTTCTCCCTGGGCTCACGCGGCCTTAGCAGCCACAGGGGACTTGTCTCGTAGAACAGATGCTGTCTGCATCTCTGAGGGTGTAGCCTTCTGCCCGCCTGGGGACCTGAGTTGGTGTGTGATTCCTGACGGAGGGCCCTCCATTAGGGTCTGTGATGACCCGTCGCTCTATAAACCTGGTGCCGAAAGGCGGTGGTGTTAACACTTGTGAACTGCTGTTCCCTCCCCTTGGTAGGCCATCTCCAGAGCTCATGGCTCTCCCAGAGCAGCTCCCAGGGGCCGCCCGGAAGGCCATGGAGGAGGCGGTGGCTCAGGAACTGGAGCAAGAGCAGAGGCGGCTCCTGGAACTGAAGCGGGAAAAGGTGCAGCAGCTGCGGCAGAGGCTGCGGCAGGAGGAGGAGGAGGAGGCGCTTCAGCTTCGACAGCGGAAAGAGGAGTCTCTGAGGTGCGGCCCACCCCCCTCCGAGACAAGCTGCAGGGCCTCCAGGACTTGTGGGGAGGGACCCACGCCTCCCTCCTGGGGGCCACTGGGGGCCCGCAGCCTCTCTAGGATCCTCCTTGCCGGCCTGTGTGGAGGAATGGGCTCCCGAGCCAGGGTGCCTGACACCTCTGTCTTTGGTGCAGAGTTGGGAGGTGTGATTGTGATGGGAGTAGCTGGTGTCTTTTGACAGACTGCACTGATCCGTGTGCTTTATTTTTATTTTTTAATATATGTATACTAGAGGCCTGGTGCACAAAATTTGTGCACTGGGGGGGGGGGGTTGTCCCTCAGCCGAGCCTGCACCCTCTCCAATCTGGGATCCCTCTCAGAATCCGGGACTTCTGGCTCCCAACCGCTCACCTGCCTGATCATCCCCTAACCACTCTCCTACCAGCCTGATCGATGCCTAACTGCTCCCCTGCCGGCCCAATTGCCCCCAACTTCCCTCCCTCCCCTGCAGGCCTGGTCGCCCCCAACTGCCCTCCCCTGCCGGTTATCTTGTGGCGGCCATCTTGTGCAAGACCGTGATGGTCAATTTGCATATTACCTCTTTATTATATAGGATATTTTATTGATTTCAGAGAGGAAGGGAGAGGGGGAGAGAGATAGAAATATCAATGATGAGGGAGAATCATTGATTGGCTGCCTCCTGCAGGCCCCGCACTGGGAATGGAGCCCACAACCTAGGCATGTGCCCTGACCAGGAACCGAACCGTGACCTCCTGGTTCATAGGTTGATGGTCAACCACTGACCCATGCTGGCCGGGCTCCATGTGCTTTATATCTATGACTGTGTTCGTCTTCTGAAAGGGTCTTACGAGGTGGTGGTATCAGCCCCATTTTATAGAATGTGTAACTTAGACAGATTGAGGCACCAGTAGGTGAAGCCCCGTCCCAGGTCTGGAAGCTGAGATGCAGCAGAGCCTCTTAGCCAGAGGCTTATCTCTGAAGCCCATTGTCTTAGCTCCTACAGGTCCTCTTCCTTGGGAGTCGGGCCCTGCCAGGACCATGGGTTTGGTGGGGCCTGGTGCTGCAGTGGGAGGAGCTCTTGCCCAGGACTCACAAGTTTCTGTTTGGGTTCCTGCTCTTTGCATAGCTGGCTGGGAGGCCCTAGACCAGTGATGGCGAACCTATGACACACGTGTCAGAGGTGACACGTGAACTCATTTTTTTGGTTGATTTTTCTTTGTTAAATGGCATTTAAATATATAAAATAAATATCAAAAATATACATCTTTGTTTTACTATGGTTGCAAATATCAAAACATTTCTATATGTGACATGGCACCAGAGTTAAGTTAAGGTTTTTCAAAATGCTGACACGCCGAGCTCAAAAGGTTTGCCATCACTGCCCTAGACAAATAAGACCCTTAAGCCTGGCCAGGCGTGCGTGTGTGTGATTGTTGTGTATACAGTGGAACCTCGTTCCAGAAGGCTGTTTGAGAAGCACTTTGTTCAAAAACGGAATCCTTTTTTCCCATTAGAAGTAATGTAAATGGAAGTAATCTGTTCCAGACCCCCAAATGATTCCGTTCCCACCTTTCTTACACTAGTACATGTCTAATGTACTGTTTAATCTATAAACACTTCTTAAATTCATCGAACCCCCTACTAGCCTTAAAGGAATTTTTCATCTGTCACTGCCTCCGAAATGGTATCACACAGGCTCACAGCTTTTATCCAAACCAAACAACAGCTTTTCTACCTCTTCAATGGCCTCTGATTGCTGTTGTGTGAGCACTTTCACACCCCTAGCAGTATTAGTGCTCTTTTCAAAAAAAGTATTTTTATTGATTTCAGTGAAGAAGGACAAGGGCAAGATAGATAGAAACATCAATGATGGAGAGAATCATTGATCGGCTGCCTCCTGCACACTCCACACTAGGGATCGAGCCCACAACCCGGGCATGTGCCTTGACTGGAATTGAGCTATGACCTTCTGGTTCATAGGTCAAAGCTCAACCACTGAGCCATGCTGGCCAGGCAACATTAGCACTCTTGATGGCCTCTTTATGTTTTTAAATTGTGCTAATTGGCCAGCCACAAAAGCATTCTCTCCTTTACGTGTCGTCATGTAGAGGTATCAGCATGAAAGGGTTGTCAGGTCGAAAACTGAAATTTTGGTCGACAACCGAGGTATTTTTTGTCTGTGAACAAGTTGATCGAGAACTGAAGCGTTAGAGATGGGAGACGTTTGAGAAATGAGGTCTGACTGTATATGTATAAACAAGCTAGAGGTTGATTTTTGTAAGAAAAGGTAGCCCTGGGCTGGCACAGGGGAGTCCCGGGTCCCTGTCTTCTTTCATCTCTACCACTTCAGTGCTGGTTTACTCTCAGGGTCTTTTCTCAGGCCAGCATAGCTGCTGGCTCTCCAGCCATCGCGCCTGTGCTCCAGGCAGGAAGGACAGGGGAGAGTGTAAAGAGGGTACCTTCTAGTGCCTTCAGTCCCATTAATGGAGTTTTCCTGGAAACCTTACCCAATAATTCCCACGTAAATTTCATGGGTTACCCCCTGGTTGCAAAGGAGACTGGGAAATGTAGTCCTTTAGCTGGGCCTCTTTACCCGAGAGAATAAAACGAGGGTCCTGTTAGTAAGGAAAGTGGGAGAGTGCCTGCTGGGGAGGTGGTAGTAGTCTCTGTCACCATCCCAGGACGGGAGAAGTGCAATAGAGGGATGTTACTATAGTTCACGGACTTGGCAGTTTAATGAAATCTTACCCTCTGGACGGAACATCCAAAGTGGTAGAGGCTTATTTTTTTATCAGAGATAACAATGTGTATAAAGAACGGTCACGCTTTATTTAGAGAAGTTAGGAAAACCAGCCCCTGACTGTCTGGAGGGTGGGGACCGTCTCTCATTAGCCAACGCCGGATCCACTGACCCAGGGCCCATCCTTACACCCGCCCTGGGTCCCCTGCCAGGGAGCCCCACGGAACAGACCCCAGAGCATCCTCCTCTTCCACCCATCTGGGAACGGAGCCGAGCCTAACAGCGGGGCTCAGCTCTCCTGGAGGGGCTGTGCCAAGAAGAGCAGGCGGGCGCTGCGTCCCTGCCCGCCCCCGGCCCCTCCTCTCCTCCTGCCCCTCCCTGAGCTCAGTGGACTGTGCCTTCCATCAGGTAGTGGTGAAGACTAGATGCCCCAGAGCCTGCCTCGGCCTGCACCCCGTAGCTGCTCAGTAAAGGCTAGCTCTCGTTTTATTTTCAGTGAGATCAGTCCGGTTTCGGCGGTCTTGACGGCGTGAGGTCTGTGGGCAGCGCCTTGCTGGCTCCCTTTGAAATAGGTCATCACGAGGACCCTGCTTCTGTGTACACGGGAGCCTTCCTGAGGGGCTCTCTCTCTGGGAAACTTCCACTTGGTAGAAATTTCTGGAAGCCACACTGACCTTAGAGCAGGGGTCCTCAAACTACTGCCCGCGGGCCACATGCAAATACAAATATTGTATTTGTTCCTGTTTTGTTTTTTTACTTCAAAATAAGATATGTGCAGTGTGCATAGGAATTTGTTCATAGTTTTTTTTTAAAACTATAGTCTGGCCCTCCAATGGTCTGAGGGACAGTGAACTGTCCCCCTGTTTAAAAAGTTTGAGGACCCCTGCCTTAGAGCAAATATTCCTTTCTCTTTTTTTAAAATTTAAAGTAATTTTTAATTACAGTTTACATTCAGTCTCATTTTGTATTAATATCGGGTGTACAGCGTCGTGGTTAGACAATCGAATGCTTTGCAGCATGTTCCCCCTGATATTTCCAGGCCCCGTGGGCGCCGTACACAGACCGGCAGTATAGTGACTGACTCCCTTGCTGCGCTTCCGCCTGTGCCTGTCGGGGGCACAGTGTCTCCCGGGTGAGCAGGCAGGAGGGGCGGGCGGTTGTACGGTGAGGAGGCCGAGCTGAGTGTGACAGGAAGGACCGCACCTCCGGAGCCCTCCCGTTCCGTGGTTCTGTGCAGCCCTGCACAACGGTCACCACAGGTCAGGGCAGGGTTTTCACTGACGCACGCTCTGTCCTCTGGAGGAGAGCCGTGAGCTGACAACCTGAACAGAAAGTGAGCCTAACTCTTCTCTGGCTTTGGAACTCATTACTGACGCTTCTCAAAGACGCTGTCTCCGGAGACATGTTTTCCTCGGGCTTGGACTCCCTGGGCGCAGCTCCCGGCCCTGGCCTGAGGGCCAGGGGGGGACTGGGGGGAGAAAGACTCTTCTGAGAGGGCGGGGCTTGGCATTGAATGATGAACACGGATGGGCAGGCACAAGGGGATTCTCGCAGAGGAACCGGCAGGAGCAAGGCCCAGGCCAGGAGAGCGGTGGGGCAGAGTGGCTCATCGGAAGTGGCTGGAGCAGAACCTGTGGGTGGAGAGAGAAAGATGCGGACCAGGGTCAGGCTGGGGTTGGACGGGGCGAACCTGAGGCAGAGGGAGCCTGGGGAGGAACGCTGGTCTGGGATCAGGCGGCCTGTAATCTGCTTGCTGAGGAAGGGCAGGGGAGTTCACGGTCCCCCTCCCGTGGGAGGTGCAGGGAGGCAGCAGGACCAGAGGCTGGGGTCAGCGGCCCTGCAAGATTCCAGAAACTTCCCAGCAGGCCACAGGCCTGTGGGCCGAGAGCCGGGGATACGGCTGGAATGGGGTGGCCCTCAGCAGACTGGCCTTGCCTCTCCTCCCCAGGCTCCTGCAGGAGCAGCTGCAGAAGGCCACTGAGGAGGAGGGGACTCAGATGAGAGAGGAGGAGAGCCGGAGGCTGGCTCGGCTCCGGGCCCAGGTCCAGTCCAGCGCAGAGGCAGATGCGGACCGAATCAGGTGAGTGCCCATGCGGCTGCCCAGCCCCTGGGCCGCCCCGAGGGCTCAGCGCCTTCCTCACCCTTCCGTCTGCCCAGGGCCGAGCACCAGGCTTCCCTGCAGAGGCTGAGAGAGGAGCTGGCGGCCCTGCAGGAGGCCGAGAGGGCCAGCTTGGAGCAGGGCAGCCAGCGTGTGCTGGAGCGGCTCCGGGGAGAGATGGAGGCTTCGGAGAGGAGAGAGCGGGCGGCCCTGAGTGCCGAGAAGGAGAAGGCCGGGCAGCAGCGGAGGGAGCAGCTGGAAGGGGAGAGGAAAGAGGTGAGCGAGTAGAGGGGGACCTTCCTCTCTGACACGGCACCACACAGCCTGGGCTGCTGAGGAGGGACCGAGTGCGGAGAGAGTGAGCCTTGGGCGTGCAGGTGGGCGCCGGGCGGAGAGTGGGGTCTGCACAGACGGGCGCAGACAGGCTCCCGGAGGGCTGCTGGGCCTGGCACCTGGGTGCTGCCACGGCTGGGAGGAAGTTTGGGGGGAGATGGCTGTGGGTTTGGGGAGATTTCATGACCAAAAGAACTTCGACCAGAGCAGAGGTCCTGAGACGCCTGTGCCTCGTCCCTGTCCTTGTCTCTGGGGACATGCGATGACCTTCCACCCTCCCCTTTCTCCTGCCTTCGCTGAGCGGTAGCGCACTCAGGAAGTTGTCATTCGCTCTTCCTCCCTGCCCCTCTGGTGTGAGGGTCTGTCCCCAGGTGAGAGGCTGAAGTGAGTAACAGCCAGGCCAAGGGGCCTCTCTTTCCTTTTGGTGAGGGACGGAGCCTCGCTGAGACCACGAGACCAGCAGGCGGGCGTGGGCCGAAGCCTGCAGCCTCCCTGCCTGGCCGTGTTCACCAGCGGGAGTGTCCCCAGCGCCCAGAGGCAGGGTGGCAGCAGTGGCCGGGGCCACCTCCGTGCCCTCCACACTGCCCACATTCCTGTCTGTCGGCTGGTTGCAGGCTTCAGGGGCTGAGCTGTATCGGGAGAAGGAATTTGTGCCAAAGGCTCCCTCAGCCCCTGAGCTCGCGGCACGTTGGGGCTGGTGTTCCTGGCTCCTCCTTGGTCTGGGTCGCTGCCCAGCAGCCTTCTCTGCCCAGTATCCCTCACTGGCCCTTTGTTGCTCCCCAGGCGGCAGCAGCGCTGGAGACAGAGCACAGGGCTGAGCTGGCGCGGCTCCTGTCCTCCCAGGAGGCCAAACACAGAGAGGTAGGTGCCAGGCTTGGCTTGTGGGTAGAGCCTGGGCTGTGGCCCTGAGCGTACGCTCGACCCTTCCCTGCCACAGGAGGGGAGGCAGCCTCTCCCCCTGCAGCCTGTGGGAGGGGCATCGGGTCCTGGGAAGTGGGTCCCCGGCCACTCTCGTGCCCTCTACCTCACCCCGTGGCCCTCCTAGGTGGTCTCCAGCCTCCGGAAGGAGGGAGAGGAAGCCCAGCAGAAAGAGGAGGCCCAGCAGCAGGAGAGCCGGGGGTGGGTGGAGCGGAGAGCACGCCAGCTGCTGGAGTACGAGCAGGAGGTGTGTGCTGCGCTGCTCCCGGCTCGGATACTGTCGTGGTGCTCTGACCACTGGGCCATCCTGGCCCAGAGGGTCCTTCTCACTTAGGCACTTCCGCTCCCGTTTCACAGCTCAGTTCCCTTGAGGCAGTGCTTCTCCATGCCATGCCCTGTATGTGGGAGGCAGTGGGGAGTGTGGCCATCACGTGTCGTGCACCTGGGTGCGTGGGGAGCCTTAGGGGGTGCTGTGTGAGGCCGAATGCTCAGTCCCGCGTGCCAGCCCGCTCAGTCCTGCGTGCTGCCCGCTCAGTCCCCTGTTGTATCCTGCCGCCTGCCCTGCAGCTCAGTGGGCTCCTGAGAGAGAAGCGCCGGGAGGTGGAACGGGAACACGAGGGGAGGATGGACAAAATGAAGGAGGAGCACCGGCAAGCGGTGGCGGAGGCCAGAGAGCAGTATGAAGCCGAGGTGATGGCCCTCCCCCGCGGCACATGTGGCACAGCCTGGGCCCTGGCGGGCGGGCTGGAGGCGGGGAAGGGGGAGGGGAGGCCGGGGAGTTTCTGTGGGAGGCTCTCTTCCCTGGCCCTGCCCTGGCCAAGTCACAGTGCCTCAGCCATCGGATGAGGAGGACCCTCCGTCGGGCAGGCTGCACTGGCCTTCGTGGTGACGACACTGGCATTGAGCGTGGGCCGCGTGCCAGGCCCTGTTCTCAGCTCTTGGTCTAGATGAGCTCATTGAGTCCTCACAGCACCCCGGGGTGTGTCCTGTCATCACTTCTATTTTTTTTTTCTATTTTATTGATTTTTTACAGAGAGGAGGGGAGAGGGATAGAGAGTCAGAAACATCGATGAGAGAGAAACATCGAGCAGCTGCCTCCTGCACACCTCCCACTGGGGATGTGCCCGCAACCAAGGTACATGCCCTTGACCGGAATTGAACCTGGGACCCTTGAGTCCGCAGACTGACGCTCTATCCACTGAGCCAAACCAGTTAGGGCATCACCTCCATTTTAAAAGTGAGGACACTGAGAGTTGGGGAGCGCGGGCCACTTGCCCGACCCGTGGCTGACAGGCAGGAGCTAGGGTCCAAGCCTAGATGGTCCGATCCCAAAGCCTCAGCCTTGGCCACCCTAACCCTGCCCCCAGGGTTCATAGGAACCCAGGACACCAGGAAATAGCTTGGCAGGAGCCAAACAGTAGGCAAACCTCACCTGCCCATCTCCAGGCTCAGCCTGGGTAGGAAAGGTGTTACCTAAGCCGCCGCCCTCGGCTTGGCCTGCTACTGTCGGGTGAGCAGTGGCCGTGGCTGACTTTGGCCTGCGGCTGGGCCTCTGCCCGGACTTCTAGGCTGCAGCTCCAGGGACCCCAGATCTCAGACTCTCTGTGTCGTCTTTCCTGGCAGAACCAGCGGGTCATGAGGGATCTGACTTCCTTCCCAAACCAGTCCTGAATGGCCTCTTCCCTGAGGGAGGCAACAGCAGTCGGAGGCTCCCCAGGGCATTTCCTCACCACACTGCCCAGCCTGTGCTCTCTGGGGGGACCCCGCTGTCCTAAGGGCTGGCCTTGGGGCACTGGCAGGGTCCTTGACCTTACTGACCTGAGGCGGCAGGGGTGGGGACTGCGGTTTCCTACTGGCGGCCCCCTTTGTGCAGGAGCGGACACAGCGGGCCACGTTGCTGGGGCACCTGACTGGGGAGCTGGAGCGCCTGCGCAGGACCCACGAGCAGGAGCTGGAGGCCGCGAGGCAGGAGCAGGCCAGGCAGCTGGAGGGCCTGGGGCTCCGGCACCGGGAGCAGGTGGGCTGGTGGGGGCAGCAGGCCAGCAGCTGGGGAGGGGGTCTCGCTGGCCGACCCCAGTCTGGGACGTCGGTGCTCCTTTGTTTTCTGGGCCAAGGGGGTCAGCCCCTCCAGGACCATGGGGTTGGCACCTCTGATGCTCCTCGCCCAGCCTGGGCATAAACAAGGGGTGGTGCTTTCCTGGGAGGCCCCAGGGGCTCATGGGAGGGGGTGGGAACCTATCAGGGGTGTGCCATGACATGGGGGTCAGGACCCTCACCTACTGCCTCGCGCCGTTTCTACACGTACATTTTCCCTCCGACTTCGCTCTGTGCAGGAAAGGAAACTCCAAGATTTAGAGGTGGAGCTGGAGACCAGAGCCAGAGAGGTCAGGGCCAGGTTGGCTCAGCTGGACGTTCAGGTGAGGGCGTGGGGCGGAGGGTCCCCAGGTGCCCTGGATCTTGGAGACATGGTTCCCCGAGAGAGGTTAGGCCTTTCTGCCCCTGCGCCCTGGGCCTGGCGGTGGCCAGGCTGGTCCCCTCCCTCAGGAGGAGGCTGCCCCAAGGAGAGGCGGCTGTCGGCCTGAAGCAGCAGGTGGCGCTGGAGAGCGAGCCTGGTCTGCTCACCTGGCCTCCCTGTCTCCCGCCTCTCTCTTCCCCACCCCCACCGCTTGCTCACTTGGTCTCTGCCTGCAGGCCCTGGGGCTATTCCACAGCAGTACCTGTGGGGGAGCCAGCACAGGATGCCAGGGAGTGGGGGGGAGCGGGAGGGGGAGGACCCGTGACCTTGGTGTGTGGGCCCCCTCGGGGCCCTGTCCTGGGGCTTCCCGGCTCCCTGCCTTCTCCCACTCTTTCTCCAGGCGCTTCTGTCTTTCCTCTGCCCAGGAAGTCACAGCCACCCATCAACACCTGGAAGAGGCAAAGCAGGAGCACACACACCTGCTCGAGTCCAACCGGCAGCTCCGAAGAAATCTGGGCAAGCTGCGGGCCCAGAAGGTGGAGCTGGAAGCCCAGGTGGACCAGCTGCAGGCCCAGGCCAAGGGGCTGCAGAAACGCATCAGGTGGCGTGCCCTCTGACCTCCGCTGCTCGGCCCATCCCAGGCGGGGCTGGAGCCAGGCCCTGCTGCCTGTGGTAGGGATGGGGGTGTGAGGAGGCAGAACAGCTGGGGTCCTGGTTTCACCGTTCAAGCCCCAGCCCTGCCTCAGGGGCTTGGTGGAAGTGAAGCGATGGAGATGGTCTTATTTTCTACCTCGGGTGAGGCTCCAAGCCCACCAGGGGTCCCGACAGGGTGCTCGCGGGAGCCTGCTCACCTCCTGCACCCCCACCCGCAGTGACCTGGAGGCTGAAGCTCAGAGGAAGCAGGAGGCGCTGAAAGAGCTGGCGGTCGAGGCGAACAGTGCTTCCCCTTGTTGTGAGCCAGACCTCCACGTCGAGGACCTGAAGACACCCCCGGGCACCGTGAGCTTCTCTGGCCTTGGCAGGGACAGGATGGCTGGGCGGGGCTCCAGGAGGGGCGGGGCTCTGCTCTGTATTGGGCCTCCAGCTCCTGTTCTTACTGTTCCTGGTCCCCCACTTCCATAGTCCGAGCGTCTCAGGGGTGAACAGTGCCCGGCCTCCAGCAGGGCCGGGGCGTCGGCTCTGGGAGGGTTTCAGGCCTGGAGCTTGCGTGCACCTGCTGGCCTGGGTCAGTGGGTTTTCCTGTGTCCTCAGAAGCAGACCAAGGAGGCGCCCCCTTCTGTCTCCCAGAGCCCGGAGGTCGCCGACTCATCCTTGGACAGGTGCGTCGCTGGCCTGTCCTATTTGGGGTTGGGCGGGGGGAAGCGAGGTCACGGCAGTCACCGAGGGTGTGGCTCAGGGAAGTCGGTGCCCACTGTGACTGGGCACGGCAGGCTGGCATCTGCGGATGCCTGGGCGAGAGTCAGGCTGACGGGAGTGCCTGGCCTCTATCTGGAGGACAGGGCCACGCCCTGTGTGGTCTCCAGTGGCTGGGTTCCTTTTCTCGGCAGCCCCGCCCCACCCCCAGTCTGCTCAGGATGGGCGTCAGCCAGGAGCTGGAGTGACCCAGAGCAGGGCTCTGGAGTCTTTGTAGGCCCTCTCACCTCCCCCCCGCCCCACCTGTCCCCATCAGCTTCCGGCACTACCTCTCTGCCGAGGGTGTGGCGCTCCGCAGTGCCAAGGCCTTCCTGGTGCGGCAGACGCGCTCCATGCGCAGGCGGCAGGCAGCCCTGAAAGCCGCCCACCAGCACTGGGGCCATGAGCTGGGCACCGCCCCGGATGCGCCCGAGGACCTGCTGGGCACCAAGGCCCTGGGCGATGACGTGCGCAAGGGCCTGGAGGAGGTCAGAGCCTGGAGGACAGCCTGGGCCCCGGGGAGGGGGGCTGGGGAGCCGGGGCTGCACCCGCCACTGCTCATTCTGGGGACCCCGTGAGGGCGGATGCACAGCCCTGGGCCCTGGGCACACAGCATGTCGGGCGGTGGGCCGGGGATGGAGATCCTGTGGCTCCTCGAGGATGAAAAGACTCACCTTAGGCTCGCGAGGCTGGGCACGGTGGGCAGGATGCTCTGATAGAAACAGCGTGGCCTCCCGGGAACCGCAGGTGACGTGCAAGGGGCCAGTGTTGCTCCGTTTTCTAGGTGAGGAGTGCAGTAAGCTGCTCCGAATTTCACATCCAGCACCTCCCTTGTAACCTACTGCGTCTCAGTTAGTTCTCAGGGCCCAGGAAAAGTAGCAGTTCTCCTAGATGAGCACCTAGTGAGAGTTAAGTGAAGGTTTCACGATAACCTAGCGAACAGAGGGCGAGGCTGGGCCCCAGCGTCTGTGGGTCACACAGACCCCTCCCCTCCCGTGACTGCAGGAGGCCAGGCAGCTGGGGGAGATGCAGTCTGCCATGCGGAGAGGCCGCGACCTGCTGCAGAGGAAGGAGGAGAAGCTGAGCGAGCTGGAGGCCTCTCTGCAGGACGAGGTGAGCCCTGGCCACGCGGCCCGGATGCGGGTGGGTGTTGGGCCCTGTTGAGGCCCCTGGGCGGGGAGACGGCATGGCTCCAGCTCTGCGTTGGGTAGTTTGTGCTGCGTGGTTCTGAGAGGCCCGGAGCTTCTCGGGAGAGGATCTAGCCCTGGCCCTTCCTGGCCATGGAACCTGAGGACAGGTGTTCCGGGGAGCAGCCTTTCCCCGGATGCCCAGGCGGGGGTGGGGAGACCCTGCAGGGCGAGTTTACTGGGGAGAGAAAGGGTGGGCACCAGCCTGGTCCTGGTGGCCTGCCTGCCGTGTCTCAGGTGGGTGAGTTCTGTGAGCCGCTTCCCGCCCCCGCCCCCGACCCCGAGAGGCAGCCCACAGGATGTGCCCCTCCCAGACCCCTGGCCCCAGAGAGCCCGCACCTGAAGGGGTGAGGGGCTCCTCTCCAGCACAAAGCCAGTGGGCAAAGGCGCAGGGCGAGGGCCAGCAAGAACTGCTGCTTCTACCCAAGGCTCTAGATGAGGACATTCTGAGAGGGCCCCCCACCAAGAAAGCGGTGACCTTTGACCTCAGCGACACGGAGGACACTAGCAGTGGAAGCTCAGAGTCCTGGCCCCTGCCTCATGGTGAGTGGTGGCCGCAGGGAGGACAGGGCGGGCGGCTGGGACGGACCGGTTTCCGTGGAGAGGGAAACGGCAGCCCCTCCTCCGCTCTGTGCTGCCTCTGGGAGCCT